TAAGAGGTTTTAGCCTGAAGGATGCTTTTTTATTATTATTTTAGAGACAGTGTGTGAGTGGGGGAGGGGGCAGAGGGAGAGAAAGAATCTTAAGCAGACTTTGACATGGGACTCAATCCACAACCCTGGATCACAACCTGAACTGAAATCAAGAGTCAGTCGCTCAACCAACTGAGCCACCCAGGTGCCCCAAGGATGCTTTCTATTACCATCCATCTGTCACATTTTGCTGCCAAGCTTTAATCAAATATTTTTTTCCCTACAAGGTAAAGAATCAACATTATTGGATAAAGTTCTTTAGAGGGACATATCTGTAGCTCTGAAAACTTGGTGTAGCTTCTAGACACATAGATGGAAGCTTAGTTCACACTGTTCCCTGGAGGCCACTATCCATGTATTCACATCCAGGAGCTTCATGAGTCCAGAGCCAACAGGGTAGCAGTTTCCCAGATGCAGAGGGAAGTAAGAAATTCAGGCCTGGATACTTTTTGGGTTCACACATCCTTCTCCTTCTCCTCCACCATCCAAATCACATTGTCAGAACCTTGCCTCCAAACTCTGCTATAAGGAATTCGGGACAAGCAGCATTAATCTTCTATTCAGATGTACAGGGAGATTGCCAGATAAGTTGCAATGATGCTGGTTTGACAATAAGGTGTAGCACATGGATGCAGAAAGTCATCATCTATAACTTCTTTTAAAAGCGTAGTTTTAGGCCAATGAAAGCCTACAGGAGAAGTATTTTGTATTTGGGGTCACACAAGAAGACTTGCACAACATTGAGGAAAGATATGTAGTATATTTGTATCTTTATGGCTTTATTGATGTGTAATTTTCATAAAAATAAAAAGTACAAATTTAAACAATTCAATAAGACTTGATGTATGTATGTATTTGTGAAGCCATTACCATAACCGAGGTAATGAACATATGCGTCATCTCAAAAGCTTCCCCATGTCTCTTTGTAATCCTTCCTTCAACCCTCTCCCTCCCACATCCCAGGCAACACTTTGGTCATGAATTAGTCTGCATATTTTATAATTTTGTAGGATGGAATCACAGGTACTCTTTTGTCTGGCTTTTCTCAGCACAGTAATTTTGATATTCTTCCACATATTATTTTGAGATTCTTCCATAGAATCAAGACAAATTGTCAAGAATTTGTTTCTTTTTGTTGCTGTGTAGTATCCCACCATAGGCCTATAAAACAATTTGTCTATTCACCTGCTGAGGACCTTAGAATTAGCCCCAGTAGGGCTATTACAAATAAATCTGCTCTGAACATTTGTGTAAAAGATTTTTTATTGACATACGCCTTCATTTCACTTGGGTCAATATCAGGGAGTAGAATGGCTGGATCATATGGTAAGTGTTTATTTGACTTTGTTAAGCCAATTTGTTCTAGTAGCTTTTTTGTAGATTCCCTGCATTTTCTACTCGGACAATTATGCTATCTGTTAATAAAGATAAATTCACTTCTTCCTTTCCAAACTGTATGTCTTTTGTTTCTTCCACATGCCTTATTACATTCACTAGAAACCTCTAATTCAATATTAAACACAAGTGGTGAGAGCCCAACTTTTTCCCTTATTTCCAAAACAAGGAAAAAGCACGTAGGCTTTCACCATCAAGTGTGACATTTGATGTAGGTATCTTGTTGAATACCTTCTATTAAATTGAGGAAATTCCCATCAGTTTTCAGTTCACTGGGAGTTTCAATCAGGAATGGATCTAAATTTGGCCAAATGCTTTTTCTGTATCAATTGAGATTATCCTCATAAAAAGCTTGTCAATCTCTTAGGATACATTATTGATAAATTATCAGAACAAAATGTTAAGGAAGATATTACCCTCCTGTGGAACAAAGCTCAAAAGTATCATGGCAGAGGTAACAGTTTTGAACACAGAGGCTTAGCAAAAACCTGTTCAGTGTTTTTGCCACCATAGATTGTTTTCAGAGAAAGTTGAGAAAGAGACAAGAAGGTAGCAAAATAACTTCTTCCCAAGCCTTTCAAACATTTTAAGACCATCTTTAATAGGTTCTTTACTTAGGAAGTGAAACTAATAAAGCAAATTAAATAATTGCAGATTTGGCTCTTTTACCAAAAGAGGAAAGAAAACCTTTTATAATGGATACCCAAAATGCTATTTAGGAGCTGACCACTAGGTAGGGACTTCACCATCCATTCAGATCAATTATTAGACACCTACTTTAGGCAGGTGTGGTAGGAGTGACAAACTCTTCGAGAGTTTCATTCATGACTAGTGACAACTCTTTCTCTGATCCTTGAAACTTGTTTGTGATAATGCACTCTAGAGCATAGTTGTTCCAATGAACCAATATTAATGTTTCTAAATTTTTTTTATTTTTTATTTTAAATGTTTTTATTTATTTGTAAGAGAGAGCGTGAGTGGGGTAGGTGCAGAGAAAGATGGGGACAGAGGATCCAAAGCGGGCTCCCTGCTGACAGCAGACAGAGAGCCCGATGTGGGGCTCAAACTCACGAATCATGAGATCATAACCTGAGCTGGAGTCAGATGCTCAAACCGATTGAGCCACCTAGACACCCCATCTCTCAAAAATTTTTAAATAAAATTGCCTTACGATCCAGTAATTCCACTTCTGGTATATATTCAAAAACTGAAAGAATTTCATTAAATACCCGAAACATTGAGACATTTATAAATTCCTGTTTCCACCAAAGGAAACTTTTGCTTTGGAAGAAACCCAAAGGTGCATCAATAGATAGATATGGATAAAGAAAATGTGGTATGACATTCACTGAAATATTATGCAACCTTAAAAAGCATAGAAATTCTGACACATGTTGCAACATGGATGAATCTTCAAGACATTGTGTTAAATGAAAGTCACATAATGACCAACACTGCATAATTCCACTTCTGGCTGGTATCCAAAATAGTCAAACTCATGGAAAGAGAAAGCAGAATGGTGGTTCCCAAGGACTGGAAGGAAGGAGCTATTGTTTAATGAGTACAAATACTCCATTTTTCAAGATGAAAAGATTTCTGGAAATGGATAGTGGTGGTGGTTGAAAAACAACACAATGCGATGCAATGCAGTGGTATTTCATACCACTGAATTGTACACTTAAAAATTGTTAAACTGGTAAAATGTATGTTACAATAGTAAAATTTTTTAATTAAAAAATGTTTAAAAGATTCTTGTTAAGATTTCTACCCTACACATCTGCTTTCCATGCAAATATAAGAGGGTGTTACGATGCAAGACCAATGATCAACCATCCATTACCATTCGAATTTGAAGGCACTGGGGAAATGAGGGGTGGAAGGAGGAAAATGGAGAGGAAAATAGACTGTGGAGCACTGATCAAACAAAGAGGGCTCAGAAGTGTGCCACATGCTGGAAAAAATGCCTTTGAAAAAGTTGTGAAGTAAAAGGTAGGAACAGACAAAGAGGATAATTCACACTCTGCTACTTCACAGGGTCCCCCCCTAAGAGCCACTAATTATGATCATGTGCAGATAACACTGGTGGGAAGCAGGGAAACCTCCAGAATGCAAATTGAAGACATTAATGCTAGACGTGTTAATAAGATGGAATGAACAACAGTACAGACATAGGTCACAGAGTAGGCACCTTGGAAAATACATGTAAGTACAGTTGACTCACAACAAACAAGCCTAACTAAACCATGTCATTAAATGGAATAAAACAGCATGATATAAAACAAAAAAAAAAGGAAAACCACAGAGGCATTCCACAGCCTTCCTTATTCTAAATAATGGCTGTAACATAACATATATTCAAGATATACTTACTGAATAAAATTCATCTGAAAATCCAACACTTCACACACATTTTTACTGGTTTTTGAGTCAAATGTTTCTGAATTTACTTAGCCAATTCTTAAAGCTGAACCTAACTGTAAAATGGTAAATTGTTTATCATGTCTATTCTAGTTTTCAGTAAAAAATTTCAACACAAATTTTCAGGGATATGGATGTTTCTAATGTATGATAACTCCTACTTAGGGAAGTATTTTCTTAGAGTCAGGTTTTCCCTCTAACCCTACACTTGAGCAATCCCCTGCCTTGAGCCCTCTGGGGTTTGGGTACACTTCCCTCTAACACGCCTCTCACTGTGGGCTCTGGAGTGCACAGAAATACACTGCAGAGTCCTCCAGCTGTGAAGGCAAGATAACAAGATGGATGGATTTTCTTGTCTTCTGGAAATTCAATGAGTAGCGACCTTCTGTGGCATTTTGTTGGTTGTAAGAATCCTGACGAACAAGGAAAATCATTTCCCCACTGCTGGGCTGCTTGTACCACAATAGACTGTAACTTGAATCGCTTGTGTCATATGTGCATTCCATGATGACAGCCTCCTTCTCCTGCACTAACATTGCCGGTGTGGCTTGAGTTACCTTTTGGGAAAAACTGGATCCTGAAGGAAAAAACATGGAATCAGAGTCTTCAGAATAAGTCATGTGGCACAAGGAAATTGTATTTTATACACTGCTATCCCTCCCTCCCAAGGTACCCACAAGACACCACCTATCTCCCCTGTTTTTAGGAACATTAGCATGGGGGCCATCCTTACCTAGCCACATTGAAGCCATGACCACCTTCAGAAGGCTGGAAAGAAACATGTTTGAGTTTTTCCACTAAATGGAGAATGTCTTCTTCAATTTCAGGGGTCAGCCTTGTGAGGGGAGCCTGCCAGGGTGTGGGAAGGATGGTTGGGTATGTGTTGCTGCTGCCCCAGAACAGGAAATAGAAGCTTCCTGTAGCAAGTTGTGTGGGTCACGTCACACTTCTCTCCGTACCAGCTGAGAGTCTCGTTACCCAGACTTCTTTTTGCATTCAGTGACTCTAATGTGTAAACCATCACATCTGAAAATGAACGAGTAAAATTTTATATTGAAATGACGATTGATGGTTTAACTATGATAAGTTCATTAACTGCATCTGTGATGAAAGTGGGTGGGTGGCACTTACTTAAAAATATGAGATGAGGGCTCACCTTGGGAACACATATACTAAAATTGTAACAATATAGAAAAAATTAGCATGGACCGTGTGCAAGAATGACATGAAAATTCATGAAGCATTCTATATATTTTTAAAACACTACATGTAATGTATTATGGAAACAACATAAGATGTGAGAATCATGAAAAAAGAAGTAAAAATCATGTATGCTTACACTATCTCATTTCATGTAAGGTAGAAATAAATCACTTTATGATAAGAAGGCAAAGTGTTTAGACAAATCCCTACAGCTCTTCCAATCTACCTATTTGTATGCTGGTATTTCTCCTCACTGTCAGTGTCTTCAGATGCCTTTATTGGGGCCAAAAGCAGAAAAATCTAATCACTTTTTGCTGAAAGGTTTAGACTGAAGCCTTCAGATAATAGATTCTGTCACTGAGGTCTCCTTCTTACACTGCTTAGTTTTGACAGCTCAGCTCTGTTTCAGAAAGGCCAGAATAGACATCTGAGTTTGTTCATTCATATCAAATATTTAAATTTGTATTCTTCCCATTACCTCAGTTGAACCACGGGAAGCTTCCGTACTTTGTGTGCTCAGTTCTGAGCATATCCGAGGTGACTGTATACACCTCCACAAGACTATTGACCATACAATGATTGACTATGATAAGATTTTCTCTGTGTGCACAGATTAAAAGTAAGGTTGTCTCCTTAAGTATATTTTTCAACATCATAGCAAACAGCAAAGATCCATTGCCTCTTATTGTTGGCTTCCTGATACAGTAGTGAAAACTTAACATCCTTGTCTCAAAATCATTGTAGCTTCAGCTAAATTGGTTGAAGCATCCTCAGAATTTGTACTGCAGTCTCTGTGAAATATGATGGAACCGCATAAAGTACAACTGTTGGGCTCTCTAAGTGATAGACTATAACTCTCTACAAACACCTAATGTTTTTCTACCAGCTGGCTGAGTAAATGTGAAACAGTATTAATTTCTTCTCCTATTATGCAATTCTAACATGTTCTCAATGAAGGGAGTCTCACGATTGTACTTCTGTCATTCAATAAGTATCCATGTCCAGAGTGGATCTTTCAGACACTCTGAGACAAGATTCTGAATTAAAAGATTTCGAATAATCTTATCTCAAACGTTGAAAGAGACAATACCAGACTGGTCATGGAATTACCACTCCAGGCTCCTTTATAAAATCCAATCACTTAGCAGAAGCAACATTAACTCAAGTGGCTGGAATAATGGATATCTTTTGGGCATGTCAATTTACAAAAAATTATGTAGTCAGTGTCAGTCAATGCTTTTAATGTATTCACATCTTCCAAACATTATAAAGACAATCAAGTTCCTTAACTCTCTAACTTTCATTGACCCTTTCTTATATCTCGTGTATCTTTTAAGAAAGGGACAACAAATAGATGAATTATTGTATGTCTTCATGTTGTTAAAAAATTTTTTTCATAATGACAAAAGATCACAATACAAAGGACACTGTAGGAAAAAACATGTAAGCAGATCATTAGTAGTCACCTTGCTTCTACTGCACAGGAGCTAGGTATAATGAGATAAATAATCAAGCTAACTGAGTGTTGGGCTACATCCTTTGTTCAGATGACTTAAACCAAATTTAACCTGATGACTTTCCCATTAAGTATAAGTCAGTTATTCCCATGAAGTATAAGCCACCTCTGGGTGGCTTAGTCGGTTAAGTGTCAGAATCTGGCTCAGGTCATGATCTCACTGGTTTGTGACTTCAAGCCCTGTGTTGGGCTCTGTGTGGACAGCCCAGAGCCTGGAGCCTATGTCTCCCTCTCTCTCTGTGTCTCCCTCTCTCTCTCTGTTCCTCCCTCACTCACACTTTGTCTCTCTATCTCTCTCAAAAATAAATACATTTTTAAAATTTTGAGGAAAAAAAATAAGCCAGTTAGCAAATAACTAACAACCATAACTCAGCTAAGAGAGACCACTGTCACCATACCAGGTGCAATTATATCCATCGTTAGTTAGGAAGATTAGGAAGGACCTTGAAAGTACCCTAACCTTGAGCGAAGGTGGGAGAAGGAGGGAATTAAATATTTATGAAAATTCTTTCATTCCACTGACTTCTCTACAACACTAGAGAAATAACATTTTTACAAAGAAAGTTGTGGGGAGCCTGGGTGGCTCAGTGGTTAAGCATCTGACTTTGTTTCTGATCATGAACTCACAGTTGGTGAGTTAGAGTCGCACGTTGGGTGAGCACAAGCCCCTCTACTGGTAAAAATACAAGCCCTGGGTGAGACCTGCTTCTCTCTCTCTCTCTCTGTCCCTTGTTCACTTGCACCCTCTCTCTCTAAAAAAGGAGGGAGGTGTGTGGTTAGTAATGTTTAATTCAATCAGATGTGAAGTTGATTCAGGGAGGTTTGTAACAAGTTATCTCTACATTAACCATTAGTCCAAATGCTCTTGTGTGCAGTGCACTAATAAGGTGGCTGATAAGTGCATATAAAATCATTCCCATATACCTCAGAAAGAAAGGTTTTAATTATAATTATAACACAAAAATACAAATCCAAGAATATATTTAATTATCTTAAAACAACAGAGCTTTGTTAAGAAAGATATAAATTGGAAAAAAAAACACAGAATGTTCTGAAACAAACAATCAGATATACACATTAAGGACTTTTATTTTTCAGAAATCAATTCACACATTTAATTCAATCAGAAAATTAAATTAATGTTTAAGTAGCAGAATCCATCTTTCCTTCTTTCTCTAAAAAATATCTACTGATGGGGCGCCTGGGTGGCTCAGTCTGTTAAGCATCTGACTTCAGCTCAGGTCATGATCTCACTAGTCTAAGCCCCGAGTCAGGCTCTGTGCTGACAGCTCAGAGCCTGGAACCTGCTATGGATTCTATGTCTCCCTCTCTCTCTGTCCCTCTCCCACTCAGGCTCTGTTTCTCTCTCTCAAAAATAAATAAATATATATATTTTAAACTTTTAAATAAAAAACATCTACCAATAGCCAATTATGTGAAAAAAAATTGTGGTAGATGCTGCAAATACAGCAGTGAATTAAATACAAAGTTCTGTCTTCGAAATTCTATGAGAGAGTAATTGTGAACAGATACTTAAAGAATATTGTAAATGAGAATAGGTTTCTGAGTTTTATCTGAAGTTCACATTGTCAAGTCACTCCCTATCTTAATTTCTCTCAAACACACAAATAATACATACCATCTGGAATTTAAAGGAAAACCCATGCCACATTTTCTGAAAGAGAAAATGATCAAATCACATAGAAATGGCTGTCAAATTTTGCCATAAATATAGAGGAAGAAAATTAGTATGAACTGTACTTAATTAAAATATTTCACAGAGCTATTATGAAGCAGATGTTAAATAAAACATTAAAAATAAAATAAAGCAGATATTTGAGGGGAAAACTTGACAGAGGGACTGCTCAAATCAAGTTATATTAAGTGTAAAAATCATGATCCTAATTAGAATAAGACTTTTAAAACTATAATGAATATTAGTAATATTATCTGATTACAGAATTATAACTTTCCTATTTTGCACTTTACATATTTCTATATTTGGCATGTAATGTTTTAGAATCAGAAAAATAATACATGTTGTTTGGAAACCCAATATTTAAATGCCCATCTCATCCACAGTAAGGACTGAAATATTAGTACTCAGGGGTTATTTATGGGAAAGGCATATGAATAATACAATATGTAAACTCATCTTTAAAACCTGAATTTCAAAATAAAACCTTACTAGCTCCCTTCTATAATCCATTAAGCAGCAATCATCCAAGAAAATGTTCTAACTCCGTCTGGGTCATCTCGATCTTAAGAGCCTTATGTTAGGCTTTTATGTCTAACACATTAGCCTCCACTTGCAGACAAACAATAGCACAAATGCTCTACTTGAAGGTCTGTGTCAAAGGACAGGGGCTGCCCCGTGGCAGGTTTGAGCACAGGCGGCAGGTGTCTGGGACGCAATGTGTACTTGCTGCACAGAAGTAGACCGCTGAGTCTGCAGGCTGGGTGGCTGCGATGTGCAGGGACAGATGCTTGGTCGTCTTATTCAATAAAACAGTGAGTCTTTGCTCTTCTTTTCTGGCCACATTTGAACGAATGTCTATAATGAGCTGGGGACCTTTTCCAAGTTCTTGCTTATACCAAGGGAAGTAGACTGAGGCGCTGTCTGAGTAACTACAGGAGATAACAGAGCTGCTTCCCTCCTGGACACTCAGGGTGGAAGGATGCTGCTCCACCTTCTGTCCTCGGCTGAGCCCTGTGCACAAAGAGAAGGTCAGAGAAAGGAGAACAGTTCCCAGGTTATTATGCTGCAGAATTCCCTTTTCCTCCACTAACTGGAGGAAACTGAGTAAAACCCAGTCTTGACTTCTGAAGAATATCCACTAATTCCCCATAAACGCTCAACTCACAGTGCAGCGACAGCCACAAGAGCAGGACGAAAGTCCCCAGGGACGCCATCATGACTCCTCCCAATGACCATCAGTTTCAGAACTGCCTCCTCCAGCCCGCACAGCTACTTCCAGTACCGGCCAGCCCTTCTTTCCCCCACCAGTCAGAGCGGGTTCCCACGTGTCCAGCAGCCAATAAGAAGACGACTGTGCTTGGGCCAGAGCCTAGTCATGCAGATGCCTCCGCCTGGTCCCCATCAGCTCAGGCGCACTACCCTCTGGTGGTCACGTCTGTGCTCAGCTCCCTGCAGAGGGTTCTTCTCCACCCTGTGCCTCCGAGGGGCTCAAATACATAATGGCAGCAATAGGTCAAACAAATTGCATTTTATTTTTTTTTTAATTTTTTTTTAAATTTTATTTCTAGGATAGAGAGAGACAGCGTGAACAGGGGAGGGTCAGAGAGAGAGGGAGTCACAGACTCTGAAACAGGCTCCTGGCTCTGAGCTGGCAGTCAGCACAGAGCCCGACGCGGGGCTCGAACCCACGAACCGCGAGATCACGACCTAAGCGAAAGTCGGACGCTTAACCGACTAAGCCACCCAGGCACCCCAAACAAATTGCATTTTAAATCAGAGAATAAGTGCACAGGAAGAATGTGGAGATCAAGACTTACACCTCTGCACACTAGTCAGTCACTGTTTAGTTCAAATGAGGTAGATCCTGTTGTTGTTTATTCAATGATGGGCCTTGTGTCTATGTTTGAAATGAGGAAGGAATCATGATTCACTCTCTTAAACAAAGAGAACACAAAACCTTCCCCTTTCTACTAAATCTACCATCCTCATTTGTCTGTTATGGAGAAAAACCCTTCCTAAAAAGAACATGCAAGCCAAAGATTAGAGTAAAAGAGAGATCATTTGATATTTTAAATAAGATACCTCTAATCTCAGTTTCTGTTTGCCGGAGCTGTTTGGCCCGTGACCCTGTTACTCCCAGAGGACTGACAGTACCAACAGTTAGATATGGAATCTTCCCTCAGTAAGATGACTGTGACAAAAAAGTAAAAGGCCAAATTTCAATCATAAGGGAGCAGGGAGATAACTTCCATCACTTATTAGTATTTCAACTATAGGAAGCAGTTTGACCCAAGACTGGGATAATTTGCATAAAGAAATCTGACATGCTATTAAGAAATCTATTTGAATGTTATGTGTCTTATATTCTGCAAAGTATTGAAAGACAGACTAGAAATTCGGAAGAAACATCAAGCTGCAAACTCAAAAAATATAACCACATGTGACTCAATCCTTGAACTGATTTCATTTTCTCAAATCCAGATAGGTGGCATGTCTTAAAGTGCAATTACTGACTCATGGACTCAGTAGAATTGCTTCTAAAGTATCAGCCAACTACTGTGTCATCCTTCCCCTTCCTGGCCATCACTGGGTCACATTCCATACTCTATCATTTTTCTCCTAAACTCCACTGCAGTGTCCTTGCCCCAAGACTCATTGATAAAGCTCTCTGGACCTGTGAGTTTCCAGAATAACCTCCCTCTGCCTAAACTCTTTCTCACCCACTTTAATGTCTTGGAATTTTTGGATAACCTTTGTGAGAATGAATGCAGGGAGGTCTAAATCTTGTGTGTGTTCAGGGAACAGTACCAACAGGACCCTAAAGAACTGATCAGAAGAAATGGTTTCTGGGAAACTAAGACTACCTAATTTCCAAAAGTGGAAGCCCCTTTCCGTGATTCATACTCACTGATCATCTGAAATGATAAAGAATAAAACTAATCTTCTTTCCACGTCTCCCATCCTTCAGGTTTAAAGACAGCAATGGTGACGCTTATCAACTCAGTATGTAAATATATGGGTATATATAAAATGTGCTTTTATGTATGTAAAACTTCTTGATTTGGGGAATCTTTCACTCTCTCACCCATTCCCCATAAAATAAGAATTCTCAAACTCTTCCCTGGGAAAATTTCCCTTTTGAAGATAGACACTTAGGTCAATACTGACACTTCTGAGGTGTGACACACAGAACTGAATGTGATGGTCTGAATGTGACCATTCATATGAATAATGCTCTTCCATGTATTAACTATAACACAGATAGATGCAGTCATCTCTTGGACAAAATTCCCAGCTCCATGATTATTTCAGAGAATGGTGCTTTACTTCTTGTCAAAGTGTTGGCCTAGAAAACCTTCACTGAACACCTTCATGCATCAGTCTTCCAATTCCAATGATTTTTTTTTGTAGACAATGTGCGAGTTATTCGAGGGCAGGGGAAGGGAATGAGGAAACCCAGTTTCTTTCTTTCCCAGGTCATTGACACCTAATTATACTCACCCTGCCTTCAAGGGAGGCCCATCTGGGATAATAAATATATTTGCTATTTGGGGGAGTCCTTAAAAACGCATGTAGGTGTTTAGATGGCACCATCACCTTTGGCTTCTTCCTACAGAAACCAGTGAGTGGAGGATGAGTTTGCTGGTAGAACAGTGGCTCAGCATCAGCCTCCTTTCCTGCCCAAGGTGTCAGATATTTCTACAAATTGCAGCTCTCTCTTCTGGCGATCAAACTGTTGGACCATGGCTTTCGCAGACCCAAACTGCAGAGATCTAAGTGGCTGGACCTGCATTAGATACTTTCTCTTTACCCAGGCAGATAGTCATGCAGCAAGGAGGCAGGGGAAGGGAATGAGGGAAACCCAGTTTCTTTCCTTCCCAGCTCATTGATAACCTAATTGTTCCATACTGTCCTCTTGGATACAGCATCTGTTTTGAAATTTTTTTAAACATTTATTTATTTTTGAGACACAGAGGGAGATGGCGTGAGCAGGGGAGGGGCAGAGAAAGAGGCAGACACAGATTCTGAAACAGGCCTCACGTTCTGAGCTGTCACGTTCAGCACAGAGCCTGATGCGGAGCTTAAATTCATGAACCATGAGATCATGACCTGAGCTGAAGTCAGACACTTAACTGACTGAGCTACCTATTCAGCCTCTGTTTTGTAAAATGAGGTGGACTAAAGCCCTTCCTAAGGGCTCTTCCAGCTTCAAATTTCTTTTATACTGTATAACAAAGCATATATCTATTGAAGACTAGCTGGGAACAGTGTGGACTGGTGTGAGTGTGGGGTTAAATTGTGTGCATCATGTAACCCCAAGATTATTCCCACAACCATATGTGGTCTCATAGGTCTGAGGTTGCTTGTAACCAACACTGTGGCTTCGTCAGAAACAGAGACATGGTCCCTAGGATGAGATCCTACGTGGGTTTTCATTTCTTCTATGAGATCAATAATGAATCAAGGGCAACTAAATCCATAGAAAAATGCAATAAAATGGGACTTCATTCACTGACTGTAAAGACCATCAAAGGCAGTGAGATCAAGGTGGCCCCATGGCTGAGCCATAGGTAGGCAAGAAATTCTTCTGGAGATCTATTTCTTATATAAATCTATTACCTATCATACATCTATATCATACAGAGAAAAGAAAATCTCTGCAACTGAGAGAGCCTGGAGAAGGTGGGTGAGCTTACTAATATGGAAAGCAAGAAGCACTTTTTCAAATAGCCTAACTGTTGAAGCCTTAGTATGGAGGATTAACATTTCCAGCCAGAGCTGCTTATATAATTTTTAAGATTGATTCAAAAGGAAAATTTGAGATTCGTATGGGGTCATTAGGTAACGATTCTAGTAGAACCATTTTTCTAAAATGTTTGAACTCTTCATACATGTAGTTTCATGTCTCTGAATTTAATTTTTTAAAGATTTTCATTTTTTCAGCCATTTTAGGGCTCAAAGAAAAATTAGGAAGCATGTACTGAAGTTTCCAGTGTACCTTCTGCTCTCCACACACGCACAGCTTCTCCCATGAGGAACTTCCCCATGACAGTGGTGTACCTTCCACAATGGATGAACCTATGTTGACGCATCATATCACCCAAAGTCCACATTTTACTAAAGATTTCCTCTTAATGTTATACATGTTATGGTTTCAAACAAATATACAATGGCATATATCCACCACTGTCATAGCGAGCAGGTTCACTACACTAAATATTCTCTGTGCTCTGTTCCTCCCTCCTGCTCCCCTCAACCCTTGACAACTACAATCATTTTACTGTCTCCATAGTTTTGCCTTTTCCAGAATCTCACATTGTTGGAATCATACCATATGCAGCCTTTTCAGATTGGCTTCTTTCACTTACTAAAATGCATGTAAGTTTTTCCTATCTTCTTCATGGCTTGATAGCTCTGAATTATATTTTTATAATTTTTAGCACTGAACACATTCAATTGGTTGAATATACCACCATTTATATACCCATTCACCTATTCAAAGGCATGCTTCTTACTTCCAAATTTTGGCCATTATGGATAAAACTGCTACAAAACACCTGGGTACAATCTTGTGTTTGCACATAAGTTTTCAGCCTCTTTGGGTAAATACTCAGGAAGGCCACTGCCAGGTCATATGGTAGGAATATGTTTAGTTGTGTAAGAAACTGACAAACTGCTTTATTGACATGGCCATGTATACACTTCCATTTTGTGGCAAGTTACTGACAAAACCTACTATTCTCTTGCACAGCGTGTCAAAGCCCCAGATAGTCCAAAGCATGTACAGACACAAGAGGTGGTCCCACCCACTGTCCAGCTCACACACTGCCTGCTGTGACCGAGAACCTGCATGTGTACACGCTCTGTGTCCTGCTGCCCGTGGACAGCATATGTTCCACTCTCTAATGGAACTTCACTTACAAAACACAAGTACTAAGATAAAGTTATTTTAATTTCAAGACAGTGATAGCAGAGCATTAAAACAAGGGCAGGGCTCCTTCTCAGAGTGAAAGCGCTGTGTAACTGCATAGGTTACAGGCTCAAGAAGCTAGCTATGCACTCAGTTTCTGGGAGTCTGCCCCTTTATCTCCACCTTAATTGTCAAGGTCCTGGTCCTTCCTAGCAACACCCTTTCATTAACATAAAAGACAGTGCAGGCTGGAATGCAGTTTGTGTTTTCATTATTCCACATGCAAGGTTGAGCTTTGAGTTTGGAGTCAGAAGTCTTTGTCTCTGCCTACAACAGAAAAGGATTCCTTTTAGAGTAGTCCGGAAAGATTTCTACTCCATTTCCTTAATAGTGAATTATGTTACAAAATCATGAGTAATAGATTCATTCAAAACGCAAGGAAAAGCAATGGATTTTAATGGATCAGAAGGAAACTTTCCATGAGCTCTTCCACACAAGGTGCTATTTAGAAAAGACTTAATTGGATACTTTTCTAAGTGATATATGTAAACACATTGTAAAAATTAATCAATAGAAATCATTTTGTGGGGTGCTGAGTGGCTCAATTGGTTAAGCGTCCAACTTTGGCTCAGGTCGTGATCTCTCCATTTGTGAGTTCGAGCCTCACATCGGGCTTTGTGCTGACAGCTCAGAGCCTGGAGCCTGCTTCGGATCTTGTGTCTTCCTCTCTCTCTGCCCCTCTCCCCACTTATGCGCGCACTCTCTCTCTCTCTCTGTCTCTCTCAAAAATAAAAAAAAATAAATAAAAATAAAAAGAAATCGTTTTGTGATCCTCAAAACTCTTCTACATCTGGTAGCTCAGATGCACTAGTCTAGGACTAATATGAGCTCAACCAAATCACTTTAGCTTTAAAATCCTCAGTTTATTCGTGCATAAAATAAAAGTACTTATTACAGGGCATTATCTTACTGAAATAGAAAATAATTATAATAAGATAAGTAGAGTGAACCTCAATAAAATTATTTTATTATATTTGTATTTCTAGGAATGAAAAGGCTGAATAAAACCTTTAAAAAACGTTACACATGTTCTGTTTAATTTTCTTTGAAAAGGAACCATCTACAGAAAACTGAAAAACTTGGTCAATTCTTTCTATGGGGCGATGACCATATATGTTTTTGAGTCTTTTCCATCTGAGTAATTTACATATAATTTATATGCTAGCTTCCCAGAGATATGTTTTAATAGAGCATTGGATCCTGGCATCTCTATCAACTACTCTAATAGGTCCATGGTAAAGCTTTTTACCTGGAAAGGGTTTTCTGGGAAGAAAAAGGGTAAGAAAAGCAAATGTGAAATGACAGTCCTGATGGGTCTACTTTTAGGGAGGAAAAAAGCGCTGTAACATAAATATGAAAATGTGCAAAATGTAACAAATATGAAAATGTGGGGGCAAATAAATGCCTGTCCCATGAGGAGCTTGGGCTGCCAGCCCAGCTGCAGTTTGGGGACAGGCTGCAGGGCGGCAGGCAGCACTGTGCCTCCACCGCACACAGGTAGGTGGCTGCGTCTTCCTGCCTGGAGGCCCTGATGTGCAGGCTGCTGTGCCGGTCCTTCGTGTTCAGTGTGCAAGCTAACCTCCCGTCCTGCTTCTTTCCTGACGCGATGTAAAACAGCCGCGTGAGGCCGCCGTCCCCAGGATTCTGTCGGAACCACTGCACACTGTCCACTGCGCTGGAAAAGTTGCAGCTCAGGGTAGAGCTGGCTCCCTCCTGGACGCTCAGGGCTGGAGGTCTCTGCTCCACCTCCATCCCTCTCACCCCTGCTTGGAAAGACAAAACAAACAAATGAACTCACTGCGGAGTCACTGGTGCAGTTTTCAAACCCACAAAATAGCCCCAGAAACACCTGCTGAGGGTGTGGACCCCCAGGAGCTCTGGAACCCCCCAGCCCCCTTCTGGGACACCCAAACTCACAGCAAACCTGCACCCACAGAAGCCCCAGCAGAGCTCCCCAGGGTTTCCTCATGACTCCTTGTGTGGTCGCTGAGGTGCCTTCGCTCCTACTCTGAAGAGTGTAGAGTCTGAAGAAGTTGTATTGTTAACAGTCACCATGTTCCTCCAGAGTCACTGAGCACCAATCACCCTTGAACCCTGTCACTCCAGGGACTCGAGACTCCACCCATAGCAACCCAGGGAGACTGCACAGTAATCTGCCCAAAACTGTGTTTGCCAACAGTGCAGGGAGGTAGGGGGAACATTTCTAGTATGTGCAGTTATAAGAGTTTTTTTTTCCTTAAAATATTTATTGCAAGAAATTTGTGGGTTAGAAGAAAGTAGGTAAAATTTCTATATGAGTCTATGTCTCAATGGGTTACACAGAATCTTGAAAAATCACAGGGAAGACTAACCCCTTTCCCAAATTGCATGGTTTGACAGACAATGTGAATTAACATTGTGAATTCAGTTATCTAAAAATACTGATAAAGGAAAATTATCTGATAGCATGTATTGTGTATTATGGAAGTAAATATAATTTCTTGAAATCAAGAGAGTTCTACAAACCAAGATGGACAGTCACTATCTGCACAGAAAATGATTCCAACCAGAATTTGGTTGGTGATAATAAGATGTCTGCATAATGTCCACTCTGATTTAATATACACTTCTCTACCTCTCTTATCAACTCGTGGACACCCTGCTCACCCACACAGCTGATTTTGGCTGGTCTACGTGCCACTGGTCTAAGTAAATATTGTAGCCTCCCTTTCCTTCCCTTTTTCTTCCTTATTTTTATCTCTTTTCTTCTTCTCTTCATTCTCATTCCCTCCACTCTCAGCAGAGATAAATGAAAAGGTAGGCTATCTGGGGTATTGAAATAATTTCTAGGTCAGTGGGTTTGTGCGATTTTATTGATAACCATGGAAAACAGGTAATAGGATGTTTCCATTGAGCTTCTATGGTCACAATGCCCAGAAATATATTCTTTTTTTTAATAAATAGTTTATTGAAGAAATATATTCTTATCCCAGTACTTGTACTCAGAGAATCATCTTCACAGGGTATTTACAGAGATATGGGTTCCAACTTTTTGAAATTTATGTGGGATGGCAGAACTGAAAACCTGAGATGATCTTTACACAAACAATGTCTCCCTTTCTCCCCAACCTTTGCTGTCTATAATTTGACTGTGTCACATGACTTCTGTTATCTCTTAAACCGTTCAACTCTTAGACCCTCAGAAAGTCTTCATCTCTTGCAAAGCCTAGAGTGCCCTCCAGAGGACTGAAACAGTCAGCAAAGACCACTTTATACCAAGCAACTCCATAAACGCAGACCCCCCCCCACCCCAGTCCCATTCATTCCATGTTTCCTGATGAAGGAAATGCAGATGGTCAAAATAGAAGATAACTGCTCAGATTGAATGGGGATTAAAAGTGAACCAAATCCCACATTTAAAATGAATTTCATGGAAATTGATATCAGAAAATAATTTGATAAATCTCAAACTGTGCTATTGACTTGATTTCTTTAACTCAGGTTGAAATAAATCTACAGGGGCATCTGGGAGACTCAGTTGACTAACTGTTGGACTCTTGGTTTCAACGCAGGTCATGATCTCATGATTTGTAAGTTTGAGCCCCACCTCAATAGGATGACAGCACGGACTCTGCTTAGGATTCTCTCTTTCCCTCTCTCTGCCACTCCCCTATTCTCATGCTCTCTCTCTCTCTCTCTCAAAATAAATAAATAAACTTGAAATTTTTAAAAAATAAATCCATAGAAGAGAGGGGCCAAGATAGTGGAGCAGCATGGAACTTCTCAGCTTCTCTTGTCCCTGAAATGCAGCTAGATCAGCACCAAACCATTTTGCACACACACCTAGAAAATTGATCTGAGGACTAACACGACAATGTGCATAACTTAAGCCACAGGACTAAGCAAGTACACAGTGCAGAGAGGTAAACTGGGAGAGAGAGAAGTCATGGAGGATAGAAGGTGTTTTCGCAGAGAAAGGACAGAGGATGTGGGAAAAGTACAGGGAAAGCACTCCTCTTGAAAGTAGCTGGAAAGAAAGAGGAAACACCCAAAGTGACTGAACAAGAAAGGGAGAAAAGAGAAAGAAGAGGGTTTCAATACCAATAGGGCTCTATAAACAGGGAAAAGCAGAGTCAGAAAGTCCATAACTCAATCCTTGATGGTGCTCTGGTAGGAAGGTTGAATCAGCAGGAGCAGGCAGAGGTCCAAGGGGTCCATGGGCCACACAGGGAGAAGCAGTTCCCCCGCTTTGAGGGCATTTGGTAGAGGCTGTAGGGACTCCCCACAGGCAGAAGTCCTAGTCAACACTGGAAAGCAACCATGTTTGCTGGTATTGGAATGAAGATGCCAAGGTATGGTGAAACCTGGCACTGACTGATTGTTGTATTTTCCCATAATGTCTGAACCTCTGCTCCTGCATGATTGCATGAACTTTTTTTCTGGGGCAAGCAGGCACCTGGCCACAATCTCTGAACCTCTACAACAGTGCAAACACACGAACATTCCCAGGGCAAAGCCAGCACCTGGCCATTGCTCCTGGAGACCCTCCCCTAGAGGGTCAGAGCAAGTCCAAGCCACAGGGCTCTCAGAAGTGAGGGGTTTATATCAGCCCCGTATCTGAGATATAATTCAGGAGAGAGGTGCCACCTGGCAGACTGATAGCTTGCACCTGAACAGTGTAGAAGCAGGATGGAAGCCAGAGACAAAGGAGGGGTGCTTGATTGAGGGTTGATGAGAGCAGAGTTCCAGTGCCACAGACTGGGAAACTGGGTGATGCCATTTTCATCTCACGTATATGCACATGCGAGCCACACCTACCCACCCCAGTAAGCTAAGCACCACCACCTAGTGGAGAACTGGGCCAATACACCAAGCCTAATCCAACTGCACCAACCAAGCTCAAGCCCTAGAGAACCACCACAAATCTCTCCATAGGCTTAGTGTATGGACTATAAAGTGCTTCATAGTTAGACTTCTAGGGAAACTGAATGTTATTCTGATTTCATTCTGTACACTGGTCCATCTATTCAGTTTTTTGTTTTTTTATTTATTTTTTTCTTTTCTTGGATACAGAAAGAGAAAAAATTATTTTTATTTTCCTTTATTTAAAATTTTTTTAGCTTTTTTACTATATTTTTTATTTTCCTGTAAATACACGCACATGCACACACACACACACACACACAATGGAATACTACTTGGCAATGAGAAAGAATAAAATAATGACATTTGCAGCAATGTGGATAGAACTGGAAGGTATTATGCTGAGTGAAATATATCAGACAGAGAAAGACAGATAACATATGTTTTCACTCATATGTGGATCTTGAGACACTTAACAAAAGACCATGGGGGATGGGAAGGGGAAAAATAGTTACAAGCAGAGAGGGAGGGAGACAAACCATAACAGACTTAAATACAGAGAACAAACTGAGGGGGGTGGGGGAGAGGGGGAAACAGGTGATGGGCATTGAGGATGGGCACTTGTTGGGATGAGCACTGGGTGTTGTATGTAAGCAGTGAACCACAGGAATCTACCCCAAAAACCAACAGTACACTTTACACACTGTATGTTAGCCAATTTGACAATAAATTATATTTTAAAATTTTGTTTAATTTTTAACTATATTTTTATTTTTGTAAACTTTTAATTCATTTTACTTCATTTCATTTTATTGTATTGTAAACATTTAAAAGTTTTTAAATGTTTTCTTACTTTTTTTCTTTTCTTTCCTTTTTTTCTCCACTCGATCAAGCTTCTTTCAACAACTAGACCAAAGCACACCTAGGATCTAGTGTCCTTTGTTTCATTTTTGTGTTGTTTTTAATTTTTTTAATTTAATTTTTAATTTTATTAATTCTTTTTCTTCCTCCAAAATGACAAAAAATTAACAAAAAAAATTCACCCCAAAAGAAAAAACAGGAAGAGACGACAGCCAGGGACTTAATCAACACAGATACAAGCAAAATGTCTGAACCAGACTTTAGAATCATGATAATAAGATTACTAACTGGGGTTGAAAAAAGCATAGAATCCCTTCCTGCAGAGATAAAAGAAGTAAAATCTAGTCAGGACAAAATTAAAAATGCTATAATGGATATGCAATCTCAAATGTGTGACACGGTGGCAAAGATGGATGAATCAGAGCAGCAAATCAGTGATATAGAAGACAAAATTGTAGAAAATAAATGAAGCAGGAAAAAAAAGAGGGAATCTAGGGCAAAAAAACACGATGTAAGAATTAGAGAACTCAGTGACTCATTTAAAAGGAATAACATCCGAGTCTTAGGCAGCCCAGAAGATGAAGAGAGAGAAAAAACGTAAAAGGTTTATGTAAGCAAATCATAGCAGAAAACTTTCCTAACCTGGGGAAGACACAGACATCAAAATCCCGGAAGCACAGAGAACTCCCAATAGATTCAACAAAAAACGACCATCAACAAGGCGTATCATAGTCGAATTCACAAAATACCCAAACAAGGAAAGAATCATGAAAGCAGCAAGGGGGAAAAAGTCCTTAACCTACAAGGGAAGACAGATCAAGTTCGCAGCAGACCTATCCACAGGAACTTGGCAGGCCAGAAAGGAGTGGCAGGATATATTCAATATGCTGAATCAGGAAAATATGCATCCAAGAATTCTTTTTTTAATTTTAGTGTTTATTTATTTTTGAGAGAAAGAGACAGTGCAAGTGGGCGAGGGGCAGAGAGAGAGGCAGACACAGAATTTGAAACAGGCTCCAGACTCAGCTGTCAGCACAGAGCCTGATGCAGGGCTCAAACTCATAAACCGTGAGATCATGACTTAGGCTGAAGTCGGACGCTTAACTGACTGAGCTCCCAGTTACCCCTGCAGCCGAGAATTCTTTATCCAGGAAGGATGTCTTTCAAAATAGGGGAGATAAAGAGTTTCCCAGACAAACAAAAACTAAAAGAGTTCGTGACCCCTAAACCAGACCCACAAGAAATTTTAAGGAGGGCTCTCTGAAGAGAGAAAAGATAAAACAAAACAAAAAAGACCAAAAGCAGCAAAGACTAGAAAGGAACAGAGAATACCACCAGAAATTCCAATTCTAC